AGGTAATTATTATATAAGTTTACCGTTCTTACAAGCTCGACTTTTTTCCTCGTAATTTTTTCCACTTTTCAGAATTACAAAGGCGCAACAAGGGCAAATATCAAAAAAATGTACCTAAATATAATTTACACGTTTTAGAAATGTTCAAATGTCATGTCGACGAATGTACAACATTATGTCATAATACATAACAATATAACTAAGTTGAGAAGCGTAGGTACAGTCGTTCCATATAATATTTTACGTTAACCTTCATTCGAGACGTCAAAACGTATTTAGTTTTTCATATGTTTACCATAAAATATATAATTAGGAACAAGGGTGAATTTCAACATAGCTGATGTATCGTTTGCGAAGAGATACGGTGAGTGAAGAGAAGTTAATCGTATAATTTACGATCTACAAATGTGTTTAGTACGAATCTTGTTTGAAACGTCAGCGTAAAATTATTTTGCATAGATTTTAATTATATCAGAGGCGACGTTGAGCGAGAAGTGGTTGACAGCAGCTGCAAATGAACTAACGTCAGCTAAATAGACATTATAAAATAACCATAAAATCATGTCTGTTCAATTATATCATTATAATATTATTACCTTTATAGTACAAGAGAATTTAAAACCACGGTCGTATACTAGAGATCGATTTTAGCAAGTCTCGCAGCTTTAATCCAGCAGTTTTAGTTTTTTCTTTCAATAGAGGAGCCAAAATGTAAGCAGGCCATTTTTTGTCATCGTCAGATCACTTTTTCTTAATTACGCAATAGTAAATACCTACCTACATGTATTTTATGGGGTTGAAAGGTTACATATTTTATACATAAATGAATTGAAAAAATGGAAAGTTGGGAGTTGGAAATACTATTATTGTCCCGAATACCAATAAATAATAATACCTATACATAAATATCTAACCTACAATAAAAATATATTACCTTCATATACATATATTATATTATACTAATTTTGATTTTTAAAATATATTTTAACATTTATGCGTTGGCCATAGGTTGGCTTGTAAATTGTATGACTGGCCAATAAGACGTAGATAAAAAAAGGATTGTCGAAGACCGATGTATACCTTGCAAAATTGGCAAACAGTGGCCAAATTGGTCTACCTACTCAATTAGGCAAATACACAGTTATTTATTTAGGTACAGTTTTTTTCCAGGAGAAATTAAAATAATTTCACAACATTTGTTTAACGGTTTTTATCTTAAACGTAAACTACCTAGGACCTAGGTAGTTTAATTCATCAAAAGTATGTTTTTGTGCAGTTAATGTAATAATAGAATAGGAGGTGTCTCGTGTAAAATATATTATACAATATCACTCATTTTTCCAGTTAAATCTATACAGAAATATAGTGTTAAATAATTTTATTTTTGATAACTGAAACCCTAAAAAATATTTTCGAATACACGAAACCAAAATAAAAGCAAATAAATAAAAACCCTAAGCCAAAATATAATTTATGAATATTTGTAAGTTTGTAACCGACACATGCAATCCATAAAAGTAATTTCAATTACAAGACTTACATTATATTATGACATCCGAAATACCTTCATAATACATACATATTTACTACTTATAGAAGATATTCGTGTGTGCATAATATAATATTAAAATATTCGCTTGCTTAATAATAATTCTGAGTTGTCATCGTTGTCGGTTAATATACCTAAACCTATATTGGATATTTTTTTTTTTTTTTAATTGATCTTTTTAAAGCCCGGCGACTATTGCCATTAGTTTGATTGTAGGGTTTATGATTGTAGGTAGTAGGGTTTGAAATTGTAGGGTTATTACACGTTTGTGTTGTGTTTGGCAGAATTTCTATTGGGGCACCCGTGGGTTTGTGCCATGCCCCGGAGTGGGGGATGGCGGCACTTGTTCTCCGGACACCGTGACTTGCCCGGAGAAAAATGCTGCCCAGTGGTCGAGAGAATCGAACCCGCGACCGCCAGCGCCGCAGACGACGTGTTCGACCGCTCGGCCACCTCGTCCCCCCTATATTGGATAGTGAATACCACTAAATGTATTATTTATGTGTTATTAATCAGTTGTTAAAAATTGTCTTGTCAAAACAATAGTAATTCTGGAATTGAAAGGGTGAACAATAAATCTACTATTTCTTATTCACATTGTCATTTAAAATAATATTTATTCGTGCATATAAATTAGGGACACACGTTAAAATTATACTTGTGTAATAATATGATGGCTGTCAACATTTTACTATATTTTCTTTATCTTTTATAATGTTTTTTTTTTTTAAATTACTGTGTTATCTAATACTTTTGGGTCACTGGTATTACATGAAATAAATAGACAAATAATTGTATGAAAACCGTCTTGAAGATGGTTATGCAACTATTACTAATGTCATGCCACTCATGAGATGTATTCGATGATTATTGAAAAAAATAGAAAATATTGGAACTGTGTGCCTGAGCTCATTCTTTATTAACAATACACTGTTCTAATACTTGTTCTTTATTTAACACTATTATTGTACCCAATTAATACAATACATTTTATTGAAGTTCAAGTACAAAAATATATGTATATTTTAATATTATATCATGAAATATAACGAATATTCTTTACAATATATCTAAAATGTCAAAATATGCAGTCTTAAATAAATACTATTTGTTTATATTACTTTAGAAAAATGCATAAAACATATAACAATTTGTTTTGGAAATAAAGAACTCAAAAATAAGTACCTTTAGGTACATAAACGGTAATAAAAATAATTTATACACGGGCTTACTAATTCGAATATAATATATTGATTCATATGTCATTATTGCATATTTGCATGTCTTAGGCATTTTGAAAGTTTGAAACTATCGTGAGATAAAACAACTTAATTTTTAAAAATCTGGAACATCTACTGGGTTAAGGAATAACGAATAACGTGATAAATGAACACGTAGGTATATACTGATTTTTATTTTTTCGTATAATCTAGAATCTAGAGGTCAATTAGTTTTACCACAGTTTTATCCCAAAGAGACTCATAAAATCTTACGTACCTACCTACCGTACTCGCAAATAGGAGGGGATTTGGGGACCAAGCCGCCACCATCAATTTTAACCTACCTCCGAAATATTTTCTATTTTTTTTTAAACTTATTCAATATTTTAATAGTATAGGGCTTCAGCGTCCCAATCTCTAACGCTATTTGCGCCTATTCTACCTACCCAAACATATTTTATTTTAAGAAATATTTTTAAATGTTATCCAAATACCATTTTCCCGACAATTGTACGTACACAAAAATATGAAATTATGCGAAATATGCGAAAAATGTCTAAAATATGCAAAGATATGCAAATTCCAACTTTGCATTTAATTACTTAATTTCATAAAACAAATTTATAACTTACCTAGAATAATCTACGACCACTACAAAAAAACATGCAAATGTAAGAAGCTCCATACCCTTATATTTTATGAGTTATAAAAGTTATGAATTAATAATTATATTATTCCATTCTGGAGGGAGGAGGGGTCGAGAATACGTCACTGTCCATATAGTTGTATCTCAGTTTTAGTGTACCTCAGCTTACAGTCAAATCGGTGTCAATAATGTACCTTTACTACCTCTACTTCAAACTACTCTCTAAACTTTTCTGATATCTGTAATCACTATTTGAAATGTTCGTTGAAATCGGTTGAGTATATAAAGTGCAAACATACATTAATTTGTATATACATACCTAGGTATGTTACACTAAATAGATTTATAGATTACATAAAAGTTTCTTTTATTTCTGAGATTAATGGCAACCTTTGTTACAAAATACTTATATCATAGGCTGACCGTCTTCGCTCAGAATCGTTTTTCTTATAAAATGATATTAGATCATTGAATTCAAATTCAACACCATCCATTATAGTGATAAACTAGTAACCTACACCTACTGTACAGCAGAGCGACACCTACTTGCCCACCTTTTTATAGATATTATGTTACATAATATTTACTATTTTGTACATATTAATTTTGTTTCATGTACAACATGTATATAATATGTATCAATGTAGTTATCCTGACGTATTATAAACCTTTAAAGATACTAAGGTATGTTACAATGTAACATTGTTACATATTTACTGTTAAGCCTAAACGTGTTAAGCGTAGGCCGATCATTTCGGCTTTTGGAAGGCAACTGATGTCGCCGCTCGAAAGACTTTGGCCAATACCGTCGAAGAGGACTATTTTACCAGACTTGACCACAGTGGCGCAAATAGGGGGGGGCTTGGGGGGACTTAGTCCCCCCAAAAATTTTCAGCACTTTTAAATTTTTTTTGTTCTTGAAAAATAGTAAATACTTATTTACGAAACAATGTATGAAAAATGTTCTTCAGTTGAAGTATTTTCACAAAACAATTTTTTTTATAAAAAAAATACGTCTTGGTTTTTATTTGTATTGGTTAGTAGCAACACTATGATATAACATTTGAATTATCTGACATTATTATTACTGTAAACCAATCAGTGTATCCAAATCTATATAAACATTTACAACTTGCTATAACAATCCCAGTTAGTTCGTCTACATGCGAGCGATCTTTTAGTACAATGAGAAGGGTCAAGACTTGGCTCAGAACCACCATGGCTGAAGATCGTTTTAGTTCTTTAGCTTTATTAAACATTGAAAGGGATTTATCAAACAAAATTGATTCTGAAGTAATTGTTAATAAATTTGCGGAACAAGACCGAAGGATTGTGCTAAAATAAATTATTTTGTATTGTTTTTAGTTATTAAGTTATGTAAAACATTATTAATAAACTATCAAGTTTTTGTTAGTATTTGTATGAAGTTAATTTAATGAATTTAACACAGTATGATTTTTTATGAAGAAGCCCCTCTGTTATATTTTTGAAAATTTATAAAAATATGTGTGATTTCAGTCCCCCCAAAACAATTGAGCTAGTTGCGCCTCTGCTTGACCATATTCTTACAATCTTACGTTGTCTATTAACTTACTTGGATAGGGTTGATTTTCGGCTTAAACACTTGGACCTGGGTAGCCATTGACGGATTCAACATTCTGCAGGTGATTGGCTGCACGTTTTCACAACAGAAATCTGTTACATTTTCTTCAACTATACCCGATTTTCTTGGAACAACGTACACATTCATAATAGCAGATTCTACTGAGTCACCCACGATTTCTAAAAATTTGAGTTGATCTGGCGTTAACTGAAAAAAGAGCCATATCAATTTCCTCTTCATTGGCCTTGTCGCACAATCCCAAAAGCCGCTGCGGTAACATTGTTACTTATTGTTTCGTTGGCTATCCATTATTGCAATTATTAATCAAATTTAACATTTTAATAAAATATAAAGAGACGAAAAAATCGTAATATCGAAAGACTGTTGTTAATATGTTTGAATGTAACCAATATAATAATAATAATTTTAACATACAATCGAATTTCATGACAACGAAATATAATAATATACGGCCAATACATTATTTTTTATTTTAATATACATTATAGGAACTTATGAATATAAAACAAAAATAATATTCTTTTAACTTATATGTTTTTGCACGCTCATATTAGGTAGGTACACCAAACGGTGTTGTAGAAGAAAATAAAAACATAATAATATAGTAGCTATCTGCGTTCTAATTGTCGAGCTGTAATAACTTGTTTAACCATAAGTTATATTGACATTTCTGAACAGATTTAGTTTTAAGTTTTGAACCAACTCACAAAGACTATTAATACAGTTTTAATGTATGCGTCGTATGTAGTTCATATTCTATATTATGTGTTTGGTAACACGCAGAGAAGATAATTAAGTATAAATAACTTTTGAGCACATGTAAAGCAGATGGATTACAATAAACAATAGGGAATTTACAGACTCAATTCAAAGGGAAACCTACATATTATTATCTAGTAGCTGCTATTATATTTATCATAGCACAGAGTGTAATAACTAATAATATATTACTAATCAGTATTACCATAAACCATTCGCTGTGGAAGTGAAATTAAATTGCAACTTAAATACTTTTTATAAATGTTAGGTATATTCTATACCTACATTAATTATTTCTGACAGATTATAGTTATAGTATAGCTAGGTACCTATAGCACATTAGTACGAATAAACTTATTTTTAGATAATAAGTATAATTTGTATTATTACTTTATTGAAAACTGATGAATTTTATTGGAACCATTATTAATTGATACACCTAATTTGTTTAAGATCGTCGCATTGAAAATATAAAAAAGATATATTAATCATAATTTAGAACAATGATAATTTTTAAACTATGTAGTATCTACCTACTGTAATTATAATCTATATAAAAACTTTATTACAACATTGTACACTGTTGATAATTATATCTATAAATACACTGAAACTTTTGTATAATATACAATATTTTAGTAGCTTAGTGCACTGGCTTTTGAACTTGCAGGTCAGCAACCTGTCACCAGACAATGTAAAACTTTAATTAGAGAAAATGTATAATATGTACCTACTCGTACATAAAGGTAAGAATTTTGAACTTTGTAAACTATTTACCGTTGAATTTAGAGAAAAGTAATACAATTTTTATAAAAAAAAGTCAATAAGTACTCTAGTATTAAAAATTATAAAAAAAATAGGTGTAGGTTGTATTATTAAATTGTATTTCTGTGTATAAAATTACTTAAGATAATTTAATTTATAATACATTTTTTATAAATTGATTTCTGTGTAGGTGTACCTATTTTTTTTATAATTTAGTCTTGTTTATACGTGCGTCATTTTTTATATTTTGAGAAAAATACTGAAGCTTGAATGTAGCTTTTTTGTATTTACTTATAAATCAATTTCCTTTTTTCTGTTTAGCAAATAATATAAAAATCGATAACTCTTTAATTATTTACTTGTTATTCGTCATTCGTCAATATATATCAAGTAGAAATGATTAAAATTCACATTATTTTCCACCAACACTTTATAATGGAATGTTTATTTTGTAATTTTTTATATACAAATAAGTTTTTCGTGATAATAATTTATGTATGCCTAAAATCAAAGTAAATTGAAATGGAATGATATATTTACGATTGGGGTGGTTAATGGTTTGATGGAAAAAATGAATGCAGAATTTGAAATGTCTTTCATATAAAATCTTTTCTTATATATTTCTTATTAGTATTTCTAATAATAATATGTAATAAGTTATTTCATTCATTGTAATTATTACAGTATACAAATTAAGAAATTAAAAAGGCAATTTACAATCATTACAGTATTACACTATTAGTAATAAGTTATAACTAATATTATACACAAGTCTTAATATTATTATATTATATAATAAATTTATATAGTTATATTAAAAACTATTTCTCAATTATAAGTGATGCATGAGAACACGTAGAAGATGTTTAGGCGCCGTGGAGGAAAGTAAACTTGTTTTTAAGCGAATTGTAGCACAGTAAAACAGAAATCATTTAACTTTTAATACTAATTTATAGAGTTGAAAGTGGGGAGGTAGGTAGGTGGAAAGAGACACTAAGAAATCTTAATGGCGACCGAAAAACAAACATACCTTACTTATATAACAAAGTGTTTAATATAAGATAAAATTAAGATTATAAGAATATCAAGTGAAAACAAAAATACTCATTTACTTTCAACTATTTATTCAAGAATTATCCATCTGCTTAGTAAAGACAAAAAATTGTATCAACTGTCGAAAATAATAGTTAAGATGTTATACTATGTAAAATAGCAAACCATACCAAGAAATTGGTGTGTTATATGTACTGTTAATACGATCTTATGTTTTGCTACATTTATTTCTAAATAATATTATTTTATTTTAAAAATGTAAACTTATTTTTAAAATGTTGTTGATACCTACGTCGTTTCAAATTTTAACGATTGGTGTATAAAATTTTTTTTTTAAATATTTTAATTATTCAACTGACTTATGTTACAGTATTATTTAACAACGCGTATTACGAATCATATTAATATTAATGTATTGTTGTTAATCATTTACCAGATGTATATTTTATACTAGAAACATAAAAAAAAAAACGAAGCAAAAGTCTCTATATCAAATTTAATATTTTGTGATAATAATTTGAATGACGCATTATGTTGCCTGTCTGAAATTAAAAAAATGTATGGTTGTATGTATAATAACTAATAAATAAAATTATTACTAATTTACTTTTTGGTTGGTTTAAACTTAATGATTATAAATGTATTTTATAAATTCATGAGTGATTATAACCATTTATTGGTTGTATATTATAGTATCTTAATAAATTAATCTATTGTTGTAAATACCTACACCTATTCAACTAAATAACAGATTTTTATACAAACGAATGTATAGGTACATAGTTATACATACCTACAGTTAAATGAATTCAGAAAATTCCCATGTACTTAGGACTACAGAGGTGATGACTTGATAGTTTATGTGATCATTATCATATATCGTACCTGTTCGGTATATACGGTATATCTGCAATTATTATAGAGGGAGTTACTCTAGCGAGAATGTTAATAGCAACAATGTAATATAGTGAACATTGTTGTTCTAAAACGTTGTAAATATGTGTAACGGATCTGTGTCAGACAATTTTAGGTAGAGTTCGCCTGCACGCTTGAGGCATATATTCGAAAGTAAATAGTTCCTGGTAAATTAATCCCTTATTATTCGTGTACAACCATCGTTGTAATGAAATAGCTGCAGTGTTTGGAAAGAAGTAAGAACGCGAGTTCATCGATTTCATGTTTGTATTATGGAAACTTTACTCACTTACCTTAAGGTACCCAAATAGAACGCGAACAACAATGAAATTGGATTTGATTTCAATAAAATTGATACGTCGCAACGGTTGTATTGGATAATCCGATAATATAATATATTAAGTTTAGGTATTTTATTTTATAATTGATTTTTGCTATAGTAAAGATAGTTCAATTGTATATAGGTACCTACTTCTATAAAATAATAATTTAAATGAACAGCCAGATGGACTTGTTTATTATTTTTAAAAACGTGAATATGAAAGTGTTTTTTTTTTAAAGAAAAAGCAACTTTCCGAACATGGCGGAAAAGTAATATTAAGTAATAATTAATAATAATTAATACTATATTATGCTTTATCGAGACTAGAGATTTCTGTGGTTACTATGAAATACGAAGATCAATTATTACTAATTTTAGAGGTTAGAATAATAAACCAACAAGTATAGAAATATTAATAAAAAAATTCAACCGCCATGGAAATATAACTTACACATAAACATAATATTATATAATACGTACATAATATAAAATAGCAAATTAAAAAAAATTCTTTTAATTTATAATATTGGATTTTTAGTTTTTGAGATTATTGAAATTTTCAAATATTAAACTTCGGAAATTGTATGGTCTTAAATGTACATATAATAAAATAATAACCGTATAAAAGCTGAGTTTACAACGTCCATACATGAACATTTGATGTTACTTAAGAGCTAAGTAAACATAATTTAATAGTTGGTTAATGTATCTAAAGTCAATGAATTATATAGATATATGAATTCACAGACCTTCATAGCTATTATTCATATACGATATACCTCACTATTAGAGGGAGTAGCTAAATCATTAGGTAAACAAATATTATTTTGAAAATATGAATAAAACATCTTATTTTGTATTATTGTTTAAAAAAGCTATTAATTTAATTTTTAGAAATCATAAACAACTTTACAACATATACTTAGTTTTATTTGTTGGTAGTTCGAACCTGTGCATTTAAAAAAAAAACACTTTGTCTATACCTAAATGATTTTTATTTGTGTTAGAAAATTAAATTTGGTCTGAAAATTGTTTTTTTTTATTATTATTTCTTAGAATAGTGAATAGAAAATATCACTTAGTTCTGAGACTTTTAATAGCATTTTATTAGTTTTATAATAATGTGTTTATCCTTCAACACATTTTCAGAAAGACTCGAAGTGCTTTAAAGTACCAAAAGTTTCATATAGAAGCCCATTTTATCTTTATATTCTTTAGATATTAGATTGGAAATTTAAAACATATCTATACACAATTCTACATTATTTAGAATTCATAATTTATGTAAGAAAACTGTAAAATCATTGTTACTAGGGACGGATCCAGGGGGGTCCTAGGGGACCAGGCCCCCCAAACATATTTTTTTTATAATTATAAATATTATATATTAAATAACAATTAATCA